TGATGCGTCTCGTTTTGCCGATAATCCAATATACATATTTAACCCGCCGTGGATATCGTGGGGATCTCCGCATTACGTTGCATACACGAGCAAGCAACGTAGGAAACTCTGGGAATATTGAGGAGAACGTGTGAGAGACAAGGACGGACAGTTGGGGGTCGTGCAAGGTATACTCAAATGCGTCACACGTGTTGTTGGCACGGTAAAAAAGTTTTTAGAACTTTAATTTGTTTTTACTGTGCAGGCAATCTATGTTTACCGTTATTTGATGGCATACCGCTTTACAATATTGATGGATTGACCGTTGTATTTTTGCTAGCGGTGGCTAATCCTTGGACCTAGAAAACATCCGGGGATTAAGAATGGGTAGGTTCTGCTGGAGGTGTGATATTTGGACGAAACTGGGAATTGTATGATTTCATGAAAACAAATTGCCGACTTTTGGGATTCGGAATACGTTTGTGCGGTGACAGTAGCTTTTTCAAACGATGGTTTTTAATGCCCCCCCCGCCGCCCGAAAGTATGCGTCAGTGGGTGGTTCAGTCAGGAGACGCAAACGGAAAGACATGAAGGCACTTGGCGTGGAACGAATAACACGTAGATGAGTTAATTGCCGTTATACTCAACGCCCCGGTACAGACAAAGTACACTCAAACAGCGGGATAAACAACTCAAAATAACAACATAGACATTTTTCACATGTGCTTCAACGCATATAGTTTAGAGTATTCTCGATAATTCTTGACAATTCTAGTGCGAGAAGATAAACTTCATACCAAGACACGAATAATATAAATAATGAAATACCGGGTGTCGATAAAACCCAATCAGCTTCGCTATTTGAAATCTGTTAAGTTATATGCGCTTTTTCATGTTCTGTAAAGACATTTTTCCTGCGCGCCACGCTCGTCTTCACTGATTGATCATAAACTGCTGTATTCAAAAAAAACATGGCGGATCGTGGTACCAGAATAGGCGAAGATCCGTGTCCACGTGGAACCTTCACGGACACGCAGTGAAAATAATAAACGACGCTGGTACTTGTGTTTGAATTACTAATCACAGCTGGCAATGGTATATGTAACCGAGCTGGGTGTATTTTGATAATCTTTCTAAGTGATGTACGAGTGTATTCGGGTGGTGCGGGCGGTCGGGAGTAGTTTTCTGTGTCAAATTGTTTGGGGGGCGTTATCTCTCACCTGCATATTGAAGATTTTACGTTTATTGAATTTGGAATTTTGCATATGCCATGTGTTAGGAATCCGGTCTGTTTTTATCGAGAGTGGTTTTGCAGCCATTTTCGCACCTGCGAACAGGGTTATGCTCATATAGCTACTATAAAAGCGGGTCGTGCTTTTAATTAAATATTGCTGTAATTTACGATTACGTAATGTATAATTCCGTAAATATCATTGCCAAAAATATTGTTGATATTCGAGTATCGTAATCGTTGAGCAAAAGTAAAATTCCTGAATAGAGTAGGGTCCTTATTTTATTATATGAACGCCTAGGGTTTCGCATTGCTGCTGAATATGTATGCAAATTACGGTTTGCGCTGTTACCGGTTATGTTCCCGTGCCGCGATGGTAGCATGGCACACATTCCGAACAATGAAAAAATATCCCTGCTACATTGCGCCGATGTTTAATGGTAAGGGATCGAATGCACGGACTTGGATAACGGATAGAGTGCGGGTAATTACCTCAGATGCGCAATGTAGCATGGGGGGGAAGTTTTTTCATTGCTAATGGGGGAAGTGAGTGTATACATGAATATGATTGCAATCCTCCTATTTGTGTTTAGGGTGCTCAGTATATCTGGTCATCGGGCTGATGTGCTTTGTGAGCTCGAGGCGTGTGTTATATAGGAATCATGTGTGCTGTAATGCTGCATCCGTGTGAATTAGGTGTGAAGCTCAGCCTTAGTAAATATGAATTCTTGAAAGGTACGCGGAGATTTATGTATGATTGATGCGTTTAAGTGTGACATAGTGTACGATTGATTAAGAAGAAATCTCATAAAGACAACAGCTGTTTTTAGTTTGGATGGATCCTTGTTTATTTATTGGTTATTATGCATTATTATTATATCATCAGGCCACGACTCGACGCTCAGAATCACTGTTCACAGCATACAATCACTCCACTCACACACCACACATCAACACTCACACTACACTCCACTCCCACATTCACAGCTCACACTCACACCTCCACACTCACACCACACTCAATGCACACCCACACATCACACCAACTCACGGCTCATCCGACTCACACCAACACGCCACTCCCCACTCACGCGCGACACCCACACTCACTCCGCACACTCGACACTCACACCCACACTGCGACACCACCACTCGGACGCTCACACTCTACACTGCACAGTCGACAACGTGAACTGCCCATCGATGCGCTCACACTCACGCACACCCACACCCACACTCACGCCCACACTCGCACTCACGCCCACACTCACACTCACACTCACACCCACACTCACACCCACACTCACACTCACACCCACACTCACGCTCACGCCCACACTCACACCCACACTCACACCCGCATTCACACCCACACTCACACTCACACTCACACTCACACCCACACTCACACCCACACTCACACTCAGACCCACACTCACGCTCACGCTCACACTCACACCCACACTCACACTCAGACCCACACTCACACTCAGACCCACACTCACACTCACACTCACACCCACACTCACGCTCACACCCACACTCGTGTAACGTTGAATTACGTTTGTTGAATAAATGATATAGAAATAATCCAAACTTGTGTATTAAACTAAATAAACTTTAATATCTGACACACAGTATAGTCACATCTTGCACAGAGAAACAAAGAAACGCGCACACGCGCGTAAGCGCGGGTGCTTACTCACGCGACCACCATCAAACTCCCCGACTCCTACATCGCTGTTCTTCTCTCCTACCACACATCTGCCCCCACATATGTCCCTAACCCACAGCCCTATGTGCCTACCCTCATTTCACAATAACCATAGAAACGTCCGACCTAAAACACGTTTACAATAATCCCTATAACATCAATGTAGCCGCAACAAGATGCGCGACGCTCTGTATACATAGACTACCACTAAAACAACCCCGAGTCTAGCCGCACTCCGCGTTTCTAACTAATTTATGTAACATCTGTAAATCATATGTTACACTCACACCCACACTCACACCCACACTCACACTCACACCCACACTCGCACTCACATCCACACTCACACTCACACTCACACTCACACTCACACCCACACCCACACTCGCACTCACATCCACACTCGCACTCACACCCACACTCACACCCACACTCACACTCACACACACCACACCCACACTCACACCCACACTCACACCCACGCTCACACTCGCACTCACACTCACACTCACACTCACACCCACACCCACACCCGCACTCACATTCACACTCACACTCACATTCACACTCACACCCACACTCACACTCACACCCACACCCACACTCGCTCTCACGCCCACACTCACACTCACACCCACACCCACACTCGCTCTCACGCCCACACTCACACT